CAAGATCGGAATGTGTCTTTCCATAAATTCAGAGAGAAATTTTGGGCTCTAAAGGGGATTCTGTTAACCTCTGCATTAATCAGATCAGTTGGATCTGGGTTGCCCATTGGTCCTAGGCATTGGACATGCGGCTGATCGGTTGGAATAACTAATTTGTTGCGCAGTTCCTAAGTTTAAAGGATTCGAAGAACAAAAGAAAGGAAAAATCACCAACTATATGGATTTGCAAAAACTAGGGGGATCAAAGTAAAAGATAATGGAAGTGGAGCGAACCGCAGGGACGTCGAAGTTGATTGCCATTATCTTGAGGAAGATGGGGGGCACGAGTTGGGAGACTTGAGGTTAACTTATTTGGAGAAGAGTTCTTGTTGGTTGAGGTCATAGCAGTTGTTCGCTTTGAGTCGCCATTTAAAAGAGAAAATGTCAAAGATTGGAGTCTCGAGGGTAGAAGACGAGTGTTAGGAGGAATCTATTTATAAGTCGCTTGGAGTAGGGGTATTTTGGACTTATCTCTATACCGCTGGCGCATGTAGGTCGAGGTGGTTCAGATGGATATGGTAATCTGTCGCACGATAATCGTGGGATTGTGCGGATGAGTTGGTGGCAAGTAATCATGACTTGGAAGAGATATCGGCATGTGATATTTTAATTCGAAAACGACAAAGATTATCATGTTAAGACCCTTGCCGATGGGTTATTGTTTTGGTATCTTAACCATAATCAAGGCAAGAGTGGTTTGGCGATTCAGCGATATTTATCAAGTGCGTGAATCAGATTAGATTTGATTGGATTTGATAATGATCAAGTTTTGGCTTGAGAATGAATTACGTAATTCCATGAAGGCAAACGTTATCCGGAGTAAATTTGAGCATTAATGGTTTTATACTCCAAATTGGGGGCATGTGTTGACACCGCTTTTTGCACGTGTCAAAATGATCGGAGTGGACTAATCGGCAAGGGGAAAGCATCGATACTCGATAGCCGATGAAAGCCACTTTGTGTAAAGATGGTTGCCGAGAATGGTGGTGGTCGGCGATGGAAAGGTTGATTTAGACTTCGCGGCGCTGCCGATGAGGTTGGAGGTGTTATTGTCGATGCCGATGAAGGGAGGCTTGAAGACTCACCGTCGATGAAACAGGAGTATGCCGATGAAGGAAGACTTGAAGACTATTGCCGATGAAACAGGAGTATGCCGATGAAAGAAGAATTGAAGACTACCGCCGATGAAACAGGAGTATGCCGATGGGAAGGAGGACGGTGAGATTTCCATCGAATTGAGGCGGATGTGGAAATAGATAGGAGTTGATTTCCTTTTCTATATTTGTTAGAGTATGACTCATGTAAGAGTCACGTGTTTCTTATATATGGGCTTGGTGTCCTAGTTGTGTTTGGTTGTGTCTCTTTAGATCGTGGTATAAATATGGAGTGAGGGGCAATGTAATGAAGATATCAATCAATATCAAAACCAAGTTTTACTCCTATTTACATCTACTTACTTTTCGCGACTTCCGTCAATTTGCATATTTTTTCTTTTACGAAGTTCTCATTGATTCGGCGAGTTGCATTGTCTCAATGTAACCTTCGGCGATTCTCGAGTTCAGCGTGAGTACCTCTTCTCTTGCGTGACTTCCGGGCGTATCGCTGTTGTCGGGACCAAAGTGCTCAGATCTTCATCCTTGTCGATTAACAGGTTAAATCGACTGGCACGCTTTGGATATCGATTTGGGTATTAGCCCTTTGTGTTTGCAGATCCACTTTTGCATCAACAAATGTTATATTGTCCAAGTTATCAATATAAGTTATAGAAATAAGTTATGTAACATAACATATATGTATAACTTATATTTTAAGTTATAAGTTCTATGTTATAAGTTAATATAAATAAATTGTTACTAGAAACGAATTCTTTGAAACATATGAAAGTGGGATATAGTTTTATTCGTCTCATCGCGTAGAACACATCGGATACAGACGAAATCAAAAATAGATACATTGTTCGGAAGTTATAGGCCCCGTTTGTTTCGTTGAAAAAACAAGCTGAAACACTGTTCCGGCTGATTTGTTGTGAGAGAAAAACACTGTTTCAGCTGAAAAAACAAGCTGAAAAAGACGGATCATAATATAAACGAACAGGGCTATAGGATTTTAAAATAAATGGTTCGTTTTTTAAAAAATGGCGTGAGGCACTTGAAACCATATGGGGTAGGTGCAGACGTCCCGCATATAGACCCGGTCGGGATCGTTCGCTGGCCAAAAAAATCAGTGAACGATCGGATTTGGGGATCGCGACGGGCCCTGGTAATTGCTGATTGCCGATTGCCGAGATCCGTGTGGGAGCCGCGTTCGCTCGGGTGGTAGACGGCGAAGCACGCGGTTTCGTTCGTCGCCATCTTTGTCTCGTGGCAGTGGCTGTTGGTGCTGGGAGCTAGCAGTACGCAGCAGCGCCGAGCAGCCTATCTTACGAGCTGTTCCGCTGATGGTTTTTACAACTGATCATAAGCTTATTCGTTTGAACTTATCAGCCTGGCTAAATACGGCTTATAAGCCAAACAAACGAGACGATAATATTTTTCTCTCACAGGGGAAAAAAAAAAAGCGTCATCCGTCGCCTCATGCACGCGACCGCACCCGGCGCCGGTTGCGTGAAGCACTCAAAACCACACGTAACAAGGCTCCGTAGTGCAGATTCTCAAAACCGACGAAATTTGTCTCAAACAAGATCCGCTATTGCGCTATTAGTAATTCTGCACTCTGCTGCCTCGCGTTGTGTAGGCCGAAATGGCGAAGCATTTGGACTTTGGAGGTGTAAACTCCACCTTTGGGCCCGATAGTGTTGCAGGGCTGGGCCCAATGTTGGCCCAGGTATAAATAGGCCTGCCTAACCAGCTTAGGTTCAGGCAACGACAAGGCTGTTCAATTCAATCACTCTACTAAGTTGATAGCTCACCAGATAAATCCGAATGAGACAACCAATCCATGTAGGATGAGAAATCGCACGACAATATCCTTATATCCATTGCAAGGACAAGGAAGCCAATCTGGCAATGTTAACTGGGCAAATGCTTAAACCATAGCAGAACACATTACTTCCCACCACACAGGCTAACTGCATACGAGCTGAAGGCTACTAGGAACAAGCAGTGATTCATATAACTACCACCAGACCACCACAAAGCGCGCACACACTAACATCGTTTGCAAGAGCTACAGCATTCTACGAAGTCGAGCTAACTCAGGGTCTCAGTCTACCAAAAACCAACCCACGCACTCTCTAGATCACAAGTGACCAACCATAGGCCAACTCAACTCCTGGGAGTGCCTTCTCACTTCACAAAGTGAGGTTGAGAAGCTTAAGCGATCTCAAGGAATCCAACTTCGCCCCGCCCAGCAAACAGGACCTTCAGCTTCTCATCACAAACGACCACCTTTTGTCAGAAGGATCCTGAAAGCAAGGGCAAATGTGTTAGACAAGGCAACACACAATGTATAGTTAAATAGAGAGAGATCATCTTTACTGTGATCAGCAGATAGGGTACAGTGAAAATTAGAATGCAGATGGTAAAATGGACTTTGATAAAAGCATGAATCATGAGCAATGCATCTTTTTATATAAGCGTATTAGGAGTTGAGAAAGTCGTCGTTATGCTTTGATCATTAATTTCTCGATAATATATTACCAGTTACTCCAAACCAACATCTTACTAAATGCATGTGAAAATGACTGAATGTACTGAATTACTGATGCACCATTTGTGCACTAGACAAAAACATACTTGTATTTTTCACTAATTGATAGTAAAAAAGATGACAATGTTTGACCTTTTCAAATTCTAATACACCCTACATCCTTTGTGCATATCCCTAATTTTTTTAGGATATTTGGGGAGCAGGTAATCCTTGATTAATGAGGAGATGAACCTCAGACCATTCGATCATCATAATTAGCACATTACCAAGGTTAACAACTTTATCATAATACTAAATCCAAAGTCCAAGCATGCTTCCAGGGACTTTGATTATAAACATTGTGTTACATGTGCCAACTCATCGCAATTGACAACCCAAAACAACAAACACCTGTATTGATCGAAAGTCAAAACTCAAGATATAGAATAGGAAGATCTTTCAAACAATAGATGATGCAGGCAAATAGAAATTTTAACAGCATAAAAACTAGAAATCATATTCTGTTTAACAAACATATCAAAGAAAAGTATAGGACAATCCTATCTTTGTCATAACCAGCACACTACATTACAACTTCAAATCATAACATCACCCGCAACACATCATCTTAAATGCTACACAACGGGCCTGTTTGGATACAAGAGCTAATTGCTACTAGCTAAAAATTAGCCCTAGTGCATCCAAACAGGAGGGCTAATAAGTGGGATAATTTTTAGCCAAGTCTTGAACTAGTTGTTAGCCAACTAGCTAGCCAATCTCAGCTAATTTGAGCTAATTTTTAGCCTAACCAGTAACTAGTTTTAGCTCATCCAAACAGGCTCTATATCTAAGGGCCTGTTTGATAATAATATGGCTAATTATTAGCTGGGCTAAAAATTAGCTCAAATTAGCTATGGTTGTCTAGCTAGTTGGCTAACTACTAGTTGAACACTTGGCTAAAAATTAGCCACCTATTAGCTCTCCTGTTTGGATGTACTAGAGGTCATTTTTAGCTAGCTAGTGATTAGCCCTTGTATCCAAACAGGCCCTAAGACCACACACTCAAATATCATGTACTGCCACTTGATCAGGATGCCTTCAAAGTTGTATTAAAAATGTCATGTACAGGCCTCTCATTTACTTCATTGACTGAACCATTGTGAGAAAACCAATCATGGTGCAATTAGTTTGATTGCACAAACCCTAATTTATGCAGTGACTATTGGCAGAATCCTAACTGATGCACCATTGACCAATGGTAGAACCCTACAGTGAGTATTGGTAGAATCGTACACCGCATCAACTAAAATTTGGTGCCTTTCAGAATAAAACGGTCACGTTAATTCCTGCTTGATGCTATTAAAAATCTTCAGTATGCATCCAAACAAGCAATACCAACCAAAATGTACAGATACAGCGTAAGTAAGCAAGGGTTTTTGCTCGGGGACCTGGAGGTTACGCTCCTTGATGTAGGCCCAGAGGCGCTTGAGGGCCTCGGTGCGGGGGATAACCGGTTCGCCCACGATTGCCTGCAGCGCCGGCGACACGGGCTTCGGCTGGGTGATGCCCGTCGCCCTCTTCTTCTTCGGGGCCGCCTCCTCCGCGGCCGGGGACTTGGACGAGGCGGCCGCCGCGCGCACAACGAGTGCGGCTGCCGCGCGGCGCGGCGGAGCGAAGGAGGCGGCGGCGCGGAGGCGCGGGGCTGGGAGCGGGGAGAAGGAGAGCGACGCGGCGGTGAGCATGGAGGAGGCGGCCGCCATTTTGGGCTCGGTTCTGCGGTCGGCGCCCTGGGGATTGGCTTGGGTTCGGATAATGGCGATGGGGATTGGGGAACGAGGGTTTGGGGTTTTGGCCTTTGGAGTTGGGTGTTGGGGTCTGTGAAATAGTGTGTGGAAGCTTCTAGGCTGTATGTAGCCTGTAGGCTCACTGGCTCAGCCGCTCAGGGAATCAGAAGAGACGCCCAGTTTTGGAGTCCGTCTTCCCATTTGGAAGACGTATTCTGAAGAGGACTGAGGAAGAGAGGAACGTGTAAAGCCGCTGTACATTATCAAAACGGAAAGCAAAATTACGCAGCGAACGATCTGAACAGTCCGTTCCTCTAAACAGTACGAAGAGATATTTGAACAGTCCTTTCCACATCACAAACTATGAAGAATTTCAACGATTCCAGGTAGAGGTAATCTTGTCACTACATACATAAAGTAAAGAAGTTTCCGACAAAAAGCAATGCTAATTGCTATATGAAATAAGAGCATCTCATCCGTTGCAAAGAGTATATATTCTCAGGTCACAACCTAACCTTCAGATCGTAAGCAGAGCATATATTCTTTGGTCTCCACTAACCTCTCCAGTTTGTCATCAACTATTTCACGAGTATTACAGATTTCTTAAATCAAGCCCGACCCAATGGATGGGCCTGCTGCTGGTTAAGCATAATCAGACAAAAAAGAAACAAGAAAATGCTGTGATAAACCAATTATCTACGTAGTTCGGGACCAAATGATATTCTCCGGCATCAAAATGCTACGCACCCCACGCTATCTATGTACATCTCGAGTTCTTCCGATGGCAATGGCACTGCAGTAAGTCGTCCCCCTGCTCTGCAACTCCACCGTTCACCAGCAAGAGAGAGCCTAACTTGCAAGACAACCCAACAGTCCTCTACCCAGAGTTCAGCTCTTATAAGCGTGCAATGGCTCCACAGACTGATGGGTGTTGGAGTAGATGTCCACGGGTGCACTGGTGCAGTTGCTACTCGAGTCGATGACCCTGGTGTGGCGGCGCTCACGGTGGCGATCAAGGTAGACCACAACGACGCTGATGTCGTCGTGGAAATGCCGCCTCACTCCCTGTCAATCGCCCCTCAGGTCACGATACCTGACCTCCCTCTTCCTTGTTGCTTCCTTCAAGGCAGCCTTCACCAATCTGTTGGCTATCCCTGAAAAAGTTTGTGAAGACTTAATTAGTTAGACTGCAAACGATGTAAGCATACTCAAAAACCTTATAATGAAATGACCAATGAGGATCACTTTACGGTTCTCGGATTCTTGAAGACAATTTGCACGCATCATCATCACTGAGGTGCTCCCAAAGACCATCCGAAGCAAATATCAGAAATAGGTCATTTGGTTTCAGCTCATGCATACTTGAACTGATGGTTCAGCACTAAGAGCTGGCCTCTTCAATGGAATAAGGCGCCAACTTGCCGAAACAAGGGGTCCAAGCTATACTCCGGTTTCTTCAGATAAAAATCACCAATGGATCTTGACACCTGACATTACAACATTCACATATTAGCTTTCTACTTATGTGAAACTTCACATATCACATTCACAAGTGGTGGCCACTTGGCCAGGTACAATAGTTCGCCAATAGAGCAGCTTGCAACACAAAGATGCAGACCACGTGCAGAAGTTGCAAGATCAGGATACTAAGCTAAGTTATAATGACTGAAAAGATATTTGGAGAATATCGATCGGGAGATATGCAACAAGAAGATATGATACATAAGTTGATCAAATAATGTGTAGAAATTCATAAGTTAGGTCAGATATATAAAGTAGCTCACGTGCAGGTTACTGTCCCAGGAATACTAAGCTGAGTTGTACATACTAAGTTGTACACTAACTGAAGTCTGAAAAGATATTTAGCATAATAGTGATATCAAGATAGGAAAAGTCAAAAGGTGGAGTGTTCTTTCTTTGAGTGGTTAGAAAAAATCTTCAGTATGATCGAAGAGCTTTTAAGTCCTACTGTATATACTAGTAAAATCTTTGAGGGAGACTTTTCCATTGTGTTAGTTCCATTTCTGCAATACTGTAATATTTAACCCGTCATAGCATAGATCATCAAAAAGTTAGCAGAACAGGCATAAGAAAAGGAGAAAATTGTATGACTTGCTAAAAGATCGAGGAAGCTTGATTTCCAAATCTCTGGTCCTCTGGCTCACGCTGGGGCATAATTTGTTGACACTGGAGTACAGATCAGGGAACTAACAGTATAATATAATTTTGTTACAGACTTAATGCCACCACGTAATATGTTAACTCGCAAACAAACTACTCCAAATTCTAACGCAGACACACCAAGAAGCAACCAAAGAAATATATTTTCCCCCAAATTCCACCACAGGCGCACCAAATCAATCAAATGAGTCGGCTAGCTGATCGCGTTCTCACCTGAATTATCCCCTTCACCCTCCACGACCCCCTGGCGTGCACCACGATTTGCGCGTCGTCGGGGTTGAGCGCGGCGAGCTCCCGCCGCACCTCCTCGGACGCCGCGTTGTGCTCGGTGGACAGCCGCTCGGCGACAGCGACCCCGCCGCCGACCACTCGACGGCCGAGCACGGCGCGGGAGTCACCGACGTTGGCCACGTACAGCGTGTCCCCGGAGATGGCCCCGAGCAGGCAGCATGAGCCCACAGCAGCCAGCCGCGGCCGCTTCGTCCACTCCTGCCTCACCTGCTTATGGAACTCCTCCTCAGCCGCGCCGAACGCGCTCCGAATCGCCTCCGCGCTCATGCCCCCCTGCTCCCTTGCGAAGCCTGCCACATGAAACTCGGAATCAGCGAGGAACGACCAAAGGCACAGAAAGGAGGAGGCGGATACCAGTAAACAGCAATCAAACGCACGTTGGACGTGGGGGAAGAGTCGGGATCGGAGGAACCGGGAGGCGTCGGGCCCGCCGTGTCCGTCGTAGACGCCGACGAGCGTGTCGGCCGGGGAGGCCAGCACCTGCGCCTGGTCCTCCATGACCAGGTTGGCCTGCGCCGCGGCCATCGAGAACTCCCCCGCCGCGTGCGGCCGCAGCTCCGTCTGCCACAGCATCTCGTCCGCCGCCGCGGCGCCCGGCGGCCAGTGGCAGCAGCACCTCGCCACCGCCCGCAACATCTCTCCTCAGCAGCCGTAAAACAAAATCCGACTTTTCCTCTCTCTCCACACACACCAGCGCGCAAGACGACTATCGCTGCTTGTTCTTGGCTTCCCCCGCTCCCCGTGTGTGTACTCGAATGGGCTGGTTGGAATCAGGAATGGGGAATTGTTTGGCGGTGGGGTTAGGTTAAGTAGCAGCTCACGACGCTTCGGTGCGGCGAAAGCGCGTCAGCGCGTGTGGGGTGAGGTGAGGGTGGGGAAGAGGCGCGGAGTCTACGGTGGTTATCCCGTGAGGTGTCGCTTTATAGGATTGGTTGATTTGACTTGGCGTTCTTTGTTTTTTTTTTCATCCGTGTCCGGTTTACAAGTCCGGGTAGAATTGTTGGATCCGGACAGGTGTGTGTGGACCGGGTTTTGGTGATAGGTTGTTGCATCTATCGCAGTAAGAGTAACTTCATGCACTTTTCTATGTGACTGCGTGTGCGTGACTAGGAACACTGATCCATACAAGAACACGGTAGCTTCATTCCCTATCCTAAACGTCAAACTCCGTGACACATCGACCATGTATATAAGTACCCGTACTTCTTTATAAATCATCCAGTTGCTATACTTTACCACATGCACACATGTCTAATACTGCGTGACATATGGACTACGGAACAGCCTTTTGGTAGCACCCAAGTGTATCAATTGGAAATGGGAGGAAATCCAAATGGTTCGTCATGTTCTTTTCTTTAGCATGAGGTTCATGTATTCAAAGTCTAGGCTCATTAAGAACTTTAACATGGTCCTCTCTATTTGGACAACTTGTTGAAACAACTCTGACAATCTACATGTTAATTTTTATTAATCCCAAAATCTAGTCTCGTCAGTTTGATTAAGGATCATAACAGTCAAGTACATGTGCCAGCCTTTACAATTGACAGACTTATTCAACTTTTTCAATCCACAATCTATGAGTGCTTCTTTTTTTTTTTTTTGGCAAACGCCAAGTGATGTAAACGGGCTCTAAAAATATGTGTTCCTAACTGTTGACAACATGAGCATCCGATTCATGTCTGCGGTTGTTTTAGGAGCACAAGGACACTTCCTGATGAATGCATGGACGGCATTATTGTTCGTCCAATGTTAATTTTCTTTTTGAATGCGTACGATCTAAACTGGCATTAAATGATTGAGTCTGTCTACTATGCAACCATGTGTTTTATATAGTTTCAACACATGATTTTTTTTCACAATAGGATTAAGATCCAACAACCTCCACCCTTCTTCTACCTCCAGCCTCCACAAATCACAATTTTTTTCTATGGAATGACAAATCACAGATCCGCCGCCGCCACCGCCATGGCGGTAGCGGTATGAGGGCATGGAGGCGTGCAGCCGGCAGCGCGCTGGGTGAGCTCATGCGTCGCCCGTGGCCTATTACCGATGGTCACCGGTGAGAAAGAGAGAGGGAGAGAGATAAAAAAAAATTCATATATTTTTTTTGTGCTAAAACACATGTGTGTTATATATCATTTCTGGAAATGATTTGTACGTACAGGATTTGAAAATCGAAAATTAGCTAGCATATGTGCTAGTACAATGATCTGGCGATCAGGCGATACGGCAACAAGGACGGTACCACGCTGTTGAACGCAAATTACGGTGAATGATTTCTAACCCGTACTGTAGACCGTAGTCTGTAGTACGAACACCAGCTTGGAGCCTTGGACGTGTGCAAAAGCTGTGTGGTGGCAACGGCGGACACATGCTCCACGGGAACCGGAGGCATAGAAGGCGGGACTTTGCGATGCATGGCAGCTCTCTGCGTACGAGCACGGTCACAGCCACAAAGTGAGGTGGAGGAGACGCACAGGAGTACTAACGTGCGTCCCTCCATTATCTTTTCTTAGGCGCGGAGGGCCATATTTCAGATACCAAGGAATTTGTGAGTGCTAGGTAGAGGATTAATGAGGCATGGAGCACTATGTGTCGTATCCCTGCATGCATCGACGTTTAGTAGCTCAATGAGACAAACTAACCAATCACAAGCTAAAGAAACGCTTTAGGTTTGATGTGAATGAGTATTGCAGAAGCTTGCTCTTTAACTCCTGCCTCGGTAGCTATCCCACGCCTAACTTAACGTCAAAAATGAAAAAAAAAACATCCTACGCCTAACGAAAGATAGGCGCCGTTCGCTGGTTCCCCTCTCAGTTCACTGTTTATCAAACCAGCTAAATAGTGTTTATCTCTCACACAACCAGCCAATTTCAATCAAGATTCTACCCGCCGAACGAGGCTGGAGTAGACCACTATTCACGCGAGAGGAGGGCTTTGCTAGCCTGGCACGGCCGCAATAAACAAACCGCCCGCGGCTGGTCTTCCAGAAAAAACGGCGAGTGATGATCATCCCGGGACACAGCTGTGACGATGATAAGCGGACTTTCTTGCGCGCCCCGTTGATAGCTGCGTCGGCGGCAGATAGCCGTATCCGGGTTCCGGAGCGGACGCCGAGGAGGGAGGCCGGCAGTTGCTGTACATGTGCGCCGATGCTTCCAGAAAAAGGCAAAGCGGCAGCACAAAGATCAAAGCTGACGCGACGCGTGGGGATGCTGCTGTTGCTGCCCCGTGACGGCGGCCAGTGGGGCTCCATCCAACTGACCCGCGTCCCGACTCCCGAGCGAGCCGGCAGCCGGCACCCGGCACCCGGCAGGCGGCGCACACTCTGGAACGAGTAATTCTAGGCCCCCTTGTTTAGATCACCTCTAAATTTCAAGTTTTTTCACTCTCTCTCCATTATATTAATTTTTAGACGCATGCATGGAAAGATTAAAACGAAAAATAATAATTAATTATAGCAGATTTACAGAAATCATGAGATGGATCTTTTGAGCAGCTTAGGTATGGCCGACGGACAAAAGTTTATCAAATATAAACGAAACATCTTATAGGATCCGCAAAGTTACGCAAAAATTTACAATCTAAATGCCGCCCTAGCAGAACAGACGTGACAGCGGACAAGTGCTTCGACAGTCCTAGGAGGTGCGTGGGGCTGTCAATTGTGTTCGGTGAACCTGGTCGACTCCTGGTGAATGCGTTGGCACTGGCAGGCAGGCGAGATCCCCAGGGAGGATCCCATCTCACACGGCCGTCGACGGTTCCGGTCGATAACGTCCTAGAACTTGACTGCTGTCATGCACGGGATGGAGGAGTACCCACACAGCTCGGCGAGTTTCCCACTTGTGTGTGACTTTGTGAGCTGTGAAGATCGCCGATCGGTGGAGCAGTGAATAATGCATCCCCTGTCGCTGCCAAGTGCCAAGTGCCAATTGCAGCGTCACCGGCCAGTCGCAGCTCACAGGGTCAAAGCGAAGGAGAGCGCCGAGGCCGACTTGCGCTGGATTATCCACGAAAGCTTTAGTACTCGTTTCGCCAGACCAAAAAGGCGTGCATAATTGATACTAGTATAATACCGGTGTTAACACCGCGACTTTATGCTGGGATGCACAACCAAGCAATGAACGTTTTTCATAGTTTAACTTTTCCACAATATCATATTACTCATGCTAACGTTATGATGGCGCCTAAAAAAATAAATCATAAAACAAAAAAAATCAACTAATGAAAGAAACACGAATTCAAGGCCTCACAAAGATTAGTCATTTCACACACAGAAAAAATAGATGCTCCATACAAAGACTACTTAAGTCAGGTCTTAAAGTTCATAAACCATCACCATATATATTATATAAACAATGGTTTATGGCCGAGACGGGATTTCTCACATGCTGCCACTTCACTCGCCAAAGCGCCCTTCAAATAGAAACCCCTACCACCACACACATTGGCCCTTATAAAAATGTAAATAGGCAAAAAGGTTCAGAGAGATAAACTTGACAACCTGTTCCACAAATGTTCTTATTCACAAAGAAGAACGCAAACAGAGAACACACACATCGAAATTAGTTGTAGCAGGTGATTGTTAGAAGCATGTTGAATATATAAAACGACTCTACTAAATGGAACTACACATTCTCTATGAAAGGGTTGTTAACGGAGGCTCAGATACAATCACATGTACCATACTAGAATGCCAGTAAGGAACAAAATTATCAAGTTACCCAAAGAGATCTAGTTTATACTATTTTGTGATTATACAAGCACACAACATATCTAATGAGATTACCCAACAAAGCTTAAGCTCAGTAGGAACATTGGTAATTTGGTAAATGCCTAAATTCTACGATATACTACTTTCCCATATATCTCATAAAAAGAAATGTGTTCCATTTTTCAAAGCTAACATTAAGATGCATGTAATGTCAGTTTAGACCAAAAAATTTGTCATTGTATTTGTACGTATTTTTAACATTCTAATCATTCTAGGAAACAAAATCGGAGGATGGTGGATCTTGCTGCACATCAATTTAAAGCCTTTCTGCAATGTAATAAGCAAAAATATACCAAATTGAATTGTTACCCTAAAAGTAATCATTGAAAAGAACATTGCCCAACCAATAGCTAAGAGGAAATTACAATGGCTCAAAATAAGCCCATACCAACAAATAAATGTCTACTATTTAGGAAAAAACTAACTATGTCCTTGATTTTCTAGACCAACCGCAAAAAACAAACACACATCAGCTCATACATGACTCGTATACTTTTTGAGATAGCACCGTAAATAATAAGCTTCTTTAGTAAAAAATCATAAACATTATCTCTTTTTTTTTATCGCAAAAGTTGCCTCTTCGTGCAGCTCATAATAAGAGAAAATGACAGCGATCAAGAGGAAACAGAGTCATAACTTGGCTGAAGAGATAGTCATCTATATAATCCTAAATCACATAAACACATTTTGAACTCATTACATGATAATCACCTTGGAATGTTGTGTATGCATTTTTAGTGCAGTGATGTATAGCTTGTCAGAAATCATTATAAACCCGAATTGAGCATGTAAAACCCATCTGACAACAATCAAGAGCTGTGATAGAGATTGTTTGATTCAATTTTCTGACTCGCTTGCCTCCTGTAAGGACTAAACTCAAATACAATTTTACACAACTAGTAACAAATACATGAGAACATTGGTCAAAGACTTCACCCTGAAGCCTCATCGACTGTGGGCCATTAATCAGCCTCCACATACAACCTTTGCGCTCGCTTTCCAATGCCTCAAACTAATTGAACACCAAAATTTGGCATGACGAAATTCAAACGATTTTTCTCGTCGCCAAGAAGGCGCCCCGAGGCTGCCTCCGTCACGAAATGGTCCTAAAAGACATCAAGCAAAAGGATCAAATAGTTGGGATCACAATGTACCATGTCATTCATCTCTACAAATTGATTGAAACGATGTATTACGTAGATTGAAATTGATTAGAACGAGTACAATAAATCAATTTATGATCAGCAAGATCAATCTCGCAAAAACCTTGAGCATCAAACATAATCTCGATCTAGATCAATATAAGAAACCCAACATAAATCTATCGATCAGAAATTGATTAGAACAAACAAAGATCAATCTTAAGGAGCAAAATTAATGCAATAAAACCTTGGGCATCAAACAAGCTTTCGATTCAGACCTAGACAACAAACCCTCAAGATAGATCTATCTAATCCAGAAGCATCATCGCTTCAAAAAATCCAGCATCATGGTTTTTACTACTACTACTACGGGAATTTACCACAAGAGCAATAAGTTAGCAACTTACGCTGCACGCTAACGATAAAGACGCAAAGGCGAGATGAACATCAGATTGATCCACGCATCGACGTACGATTAGTCGAAGAGGCTGAAGAGGCTGACGCCCACCTCCTCTCTTCCTCCTTCTTGGCCTTCCCGCCTGAGAACTGGCGGCGGTAGAGCGCGACCATGATGGCGCGCACGCCATCCCTGCCGATGAGCGCGATAGGGGTCGAGCACGGCAGTGGCTCCGTGCACGCCATCAATCGCCACGCGTCACAATGTACCACATACAATTGTGACGTTTCGTTAAAGCAAAGCAAGGCGAAGTAGGAATCGAATTTCAAGCGCAGGATGCGGAGAGCGGCGTACACAAGATGCGGTTGTGGATGCGAGAAGTTCTATATCCCCGCCTCGAATCGTGGCTATTGGATTTGGTTTAGGTGTTTTATTAGCTCTTAATTTTAATGGAGACAAATTCGTGTATATTTTCTATGTGCACAATGATTAGAGATTTCAATGAGAACATTTTCCTAAGGATCTAGTATAATCTTTGATTGATCCATTATAGAGAATAGGCACCATCAGCCAGCCGCATTTGATGTGAGGAGAAAAGGGCATGAATAATGCTCACGTAATAACAGGACAAAATGATATTTATGATAATTTCAATAAAAAATCTATGTGTTGATTTATATGTTTTGATCGGGAGTATCTGATGTTTGGTTCATGGAAAACATAGAAGATCAAAGGAACAAGTTCCTATAGAATTTTCACTGTAGCAGTGTTTGGAATAAAGGAAGAGGGTATAAATCGTTTCAGAGAAAAGGCAATAAAACCTGTAGCCTTTGAGGAAAGAAAACATGAGGTCT